TCAGACAAGGAGTTCTTGTGCACGATGCGAGTTACCATGCTGCTGTTCAGCTGGAGGGTCCAGAGGCAGGCACTTTCTCTCTTCATGAATTCGGTTCCACTTTGAACAAATCTTTTTTTTTTTTTTTTTTTTGCTGAGTGGATTACTGATTTGAGTCATTGGCTGGAAATTCAGGGTCCATTATTGTCAATACTAGATATGCTAATGAAGCCTTCCCCATCATCTCATTCCAAGGAAGTTTCTGATTCTATTCTGGCAGGCCGTATCTATGGAAGTGCCATGGTATCGTGTATTTAGTGTATGAGTTTGAATTTCTTTAAAAAAAAGGAAGATACGACTATTTGTTTTCTTCAGATTCATCAAGTTGGAGGGCCATTTCCGCAGCCGATTGCTCCTGTAACTTATATGTGGAGACCATATCATTTACCTGATAGAGAATATGATGGCGAAGGAAGCAATGATGTAGGAACTGAAAACAGAGATGGTAATGACTCTCGCAAATGCTGGGTGTGGATCCATGCTTCTTCATTTAGTGAGGGATATGATTCTCTTAAACTTGCTTGTCAAAAGCAGGTAAGTGTTTGAGGTTATATGCATGCCTTGAGCTGACATCTGAAATCAGTTGTTTGCATTATTCTTTCTTATAGACTTTTGTAGAAGTTGTGCCTAACGTCTCCCTTCTTTTCCATGCCTTTTCATTCAGATGAATGAGACAGGTGTCTCACTCAATTGTTTTTCGCTTGAGGGTCGGCTTGCAAAACTTGAGATTCTCGGGCCAAAGGCATCGCAGCTTCTTGAGAAGACTCTTTATCCCGTTTCTTGGTGAGTGATTTGATCTATTGACAGATGCCAAAAAAAAATGAAAGAGCAGAGCACATTTATCTGTTTTCTTTTCTCTTTTTTGGTCTATGAATCAGCTTAGCGCAATATTCGGCAGCCAAAGCTGATCTCAACATTGAGGAAGCCATTTCATCTGGTGCAATTTTGGCACGATCTATCATGGATCCACGGACAACCCTAAACAATAAGCTTGATGATGTTACCGACTCTGTTGAAACGATAACCAGAGCTGAGCCTGACAACCTTCAAGAAGTTTTCAAGTGTTTGTGGGATGCAAGTGATGAACTAAACCCACCTGAAGAAGAGAGCGTACTGTGCTCGGAAAAACATCAATCTCGTATGGATTTTCTCTGTCTTGATTCTATATCAGAGACTCCCAGGACATCAAAAAGTCCAAGGAGGCTGAGGACTTGTCCTGTATTGCTTCTAAAACATAAAACTCCTACTGGGTAGTCGCCATTTTTCTCTCGTCTGAGCTTCTTTGGAGAATCAAAGTCTTTTATGACCCATTGTTAACTATTATTTTTCTCTTTCAGATGGTCTCTTATACTTCCCCTGAGTTGGGTTAAAGTCTTCTGGAACGCCTTTGTCTCTAATGGGGCTCATGCGATAGGTCAGAGGGAGAAACGCTGGATCGCTTGTGATGTATGTTTTCGTTCTGTAAACTTTAATCTTTGGCCTCAAAGATACTCTCTGATATATATAAGCATGTGGAACCAGAGAAACTAATCATGACTGAAACTTATGCCTTTGTTGCAGGCTGGTTTACCCTTTTTCCCATCAGATTTTCCCGATACCAATGCATATTCGTCCTCAAAAATGAGCGAGGCTGCTGAGTTGGAGCAAAAGGCAGAACGCCGCCCAACCGCTATGAGGCCTTTCAGAATTCCCATTCCGCCTCCATGGAATAGCATCCTCGTTACTCTGAACCAAAGTTCCATTGCAATTCCACAGATGGAGCTATCTAATCCAAACTGTACACCTGATTCTGAAGTGTCCTCATCTGGAAATGTGAACAGTGAACCAGAATCTGCTGGCTATGGTGGTAATCTATTTGATGGTATCGTGGCAAGAACATCCAGTGAGCTGACTGCTTTTATGAAAAGTTCCATGGGTGATAACATGCTTTCATTTCCACGAGCTTCCAACTTGGACACGGTCATTAAGCCATGTCGAGAGGTCAAAAATGGGTTGACCCATGCAAGTGCTGAGATCAATCATGGTAATAAACTATGCCTTGTCAGAGTTCTTCTACACGCTTATAAGGAGGGTTCTTTTGAAGATGGGGCGGTTGTATGTGCACTCTCTCTCTCGGACATATTGTTATGGAAAGACAGGTACTTACCCAAGTTTTGTTTTTATAAGATTCTGCATTCTTTCCATGCTAACTATGTATACATATATGTGTCTGCGACAGTAAACATGAAGCGGACCGACCCGCCATCCCTCAGTCTATGGTGAAGTCATACTTTGAAGAGCAACCTTCTGGAACATGGGAACTTAATGTTCCGGAAGATTCTCCGTCGAAGGAATCTCACAGATGGCCAATTGGGTTCGTGACAACTGGATTTGTCCGTGGGAGGTAAGTAAAAACTTGCAGATCTGATTTCCTCTATTACGTAAAACAACGATCGAACTTTTGTTTCAAACCGTTTTTTTTACCATGCAGTAAAAAACAGAGGGCAGAAGGTTACTGCGAGGCAGTTTTACTGGCGAAACTCAGAGAAGAGCAATGGAGAGACAAACCTCTGAAACGAATGAAGAAGGATGTCTATGTTTTGGTCAGAAATCTGAGGTCTTCTGCTTATAGGCTCGCACTTGCTTCCGTCGTTCTGGAGCAACAGGACTGCGACGTAGATTCCTTGTAGAGTTTTGTAACAAAAAATTTTGTTTTCTTTTCTATAATTTTGGTCCTGATTAAATTATTATTAAATTCTGCTCCATAAGTGTATATCACAGTTGGTATTTGCATCAATCATCATATAGATAACTGACGGTTTTAGATTTTTTTTTTATAGTTTTTAAGAAAATACAGACATATATAACCTTGTTTATTATTTGTACTAAGCATTCTTTATAACTTCAGTAAATAAAAATTTAGGTGTGTAAAAAAGGTAGTAACAAGAGCAAACACGTTGTTGCAGAAGTTTTTTTTTTTTACAAAAATAAAAATTTTATATCTTCATGTATTTTTTATGAGATTATTTCTAAATTAAAAAGTTTTTTTTTATATCTTCATGAAAAAAAATCAATTTAGGCTTATTTCATAATAAAAGAAGAAGGAATTTATGCTTGCAGACAAGTATAACTAACCATCATCAAGTGATTGTTTGTAACTACAATAATAATAATCCAAATATACACATTTAATCAAAGTCCCCCAATTACGAATGTCTTACCTCAATAGTCAAATTTAGTATTAACCATTTAGGAGTAGTTTGTATATATATATATACATATATGTACATGCGTTCCAGGAAAAGTTGCTGACACGTGTCGTCTGCAAGTCAAACATAGGGAGCGGGCTGCGCTAACATGGACGTCAGTGCGCATCTCATTTAACGTGCGCACTCACCTGCAGACCAACAAACCAAAATCCCCGCACGGTGGAAAACAAAACAAGAAAAGGAAAGATTAGAGGGAGGGGGGGAGAGATGAAAGAGACGACGCTAGAAGAAGGTTCGGACCGAGTTACGTACTGAGTCGGCTCAGACGAGTGCATAGATCGAACGGGGCTTAAAAACGATAGAAAAAAAAAGGACTGTTTGGGTTTTTTGTGGGTTGGGGTGTGGAAATAGCAAAAAAATGGTGAGCAAGGAGATAATTAGTCTCTCACCCTTTTACTCTTCTCTCCCTCTCCTTATTCCCAACTCCTCCACTAACCCTAATTCTTCACTGGTTCCACCGCCATTGCCCCATCCTCTATCTCCTCTCAATTTATTCCCGAATTCTCTTTCTGGGTTTTCTTCTATTCATCTCTCTCTGTCTCCCCGATCCTCCGTCTTCCCAAATTCTCTCACTCCTTCGTGGGATTCGACGAGTCTAGGTATTCTATCTTGTCTTCATCGCTTTTGTTCAATTCATGTTTCCTGTTCGATTTTATTTTTCTGTCTGGGTCGAGTACACTGTTTGTATTCTTTGCACTTTTTCCTTCCGGGTGTGTCTCTGTTTCTCGGCTACTCGTTTGATCGGATTGTGGCGTTTGGCAATGTTTTGATCCTTTTCTGCTGTACCGTTTGTCTATTCGTTGACAATTTTTAATCTGTGCCCGCGTTATAAATTATGTTCATGGTAGTAACCCTTTTGATCACTCGTTTGAATTGAGTTGGTGTCATGAATCTGCAC